CGCCAAGCAGCAAGAGCAGAGCGATGACGCGCTGTTGCCGTCGGTGGCAGGACATGGGACCGAGGCGGTGAAATGGGTTGTGCCTTGTGACTTGCACGTCCCAGCAGCAATCGTCGGTATGCGGATGATGGACACGATTATCCGGATATAGACATGTGCTATCCAATACGGTTATGAGTCCTTGATTCATGAATCCACAACGCTCTCGCTGCCTTCAACATGGCCAGCTTTGGACCGCAGCGCCAAGCCGGAGGTGCAGTGACTGCGATGGCAGATGCGAGGAAGCTGCTGGCTAGTCGGATCCGAGATGTCAATTCACTGTACGTTCTGCTTGTAGACCGCAGTGTAACTGCAAACATCTCCGAACGACTACTTCAAATAACGAGAGAGTACGTGTCCACTTGACCTGTCCACGCGCTAACGCGGTGCAGGATTTCTGCTGTTGTCCTGGACGTAGTGGCATGCTCGATGGACGCCGTTGTCTTTGCCCTATATCTCCAGCACGGTAGCTTCGATCGCATATCTCGGTGCCGACCGTTCTTCTAAAGACAGTAGCTGCTCAACGCGCCACAGGCGAGGACACCCGCAAGGATCACCACCCCGAAACAAATGCGGTGCCGTCGCTGTAACGTGGCGTCGACGCAAGACCTCTCGTTGCCTCTGCAGCGCGCCTCGCCGTAAGAGGACTAGTTGTCGTCGTGGGTTTGATTTTGTCGACTCTTCTGTCTCATAGTCCATCGTCCATGAGTCAATAACGTGTATATATGCACCGCTCCTTTAGATTCAATTATGCGTCTAGTGCAGCTCGTCGTGCAAGCTCGTGGTCGTCGGACGAATCGTCCCGCACGTAGTTGGAGGCTCGAGAGACGGGAAAATCGTCGTCGATAGCGTCGTCGTCGCCGTCCTTGCTCGAGCATGCGGTGGCTTCAATCGCAGGTCGCGAGGCTGCCATCTGACGGTCCTTCTTCTTGATGTAGAGGCCGAGGACAGCGCCAAAGAGTACAACGCTCAGGACACCCAAGGCTATGCCGAGTACTACGTACGTTGCACCATAAGTCCTCGAGTCACGCATGCGGAAAAGACGCACCCGAGAACTCATTCAAGCCATTCGGGTAGTACGTCGGTACTTCGGTCACACAAGACGACTCGCCGCTGCCGGTACCTCTGCAGCTCGCCTCGCCGTTGGAGATCCAGTCCTTGTCCAGAAGCAGTCGCTCGGCGCTTGCTGAGCACGTTGCCATGTCGCGAAAGAGTCGACAGATCTGCCACGAACGCATCTCTTTGGCGCAAAAGTTTCCGCCCGAAAACGACGCCACGGCCGCAATACCGAGAGGCCCGGTGACACAGTGCGCGAGGCTCCCGTTGGCTTCAAAGAGCGGAAGCCGCCGCTTGGCCGCCCAGCACCAGTCGCTCGCGACAGAATAGCCTTCGTTGCCCCAGTGCTCTCGACGCGCGGGTCCGCACGACGCTGGAAACGTTGAGAGACTCGTATCGTTGCTGCCGCTGGTCCGATTGCCTTCGTACGCG